TCGTTTCTTTAAATATAGAGGCCTTGACGAAAACACAGAGGAGCAGCTAGGCCTTGACCCTCATATCGATAGACATATCCTCACCATACTTTGTCAAAATGACGTAGTAGATGGCTTGGAGATCAAAACCAAAGATGGTGAAGAGTGGTTCAAAGCTAAGCCATCTCAAGACTCTTCTTTCCTCGTTATAGCCGGAGCTTCACTTCATGTAATAAGATCAAGCTTCCTTGAGTCTCAATCATGTAGTCATCTTTAATTATTCTATCAACATCAAATATGGGTTTTGTAGGTACTACTTAATGGTAGGGTGTTTCCTCCGCTTCACCGTGTGGTGATAACCGGAAAGGAAGATCGGCACGCGGCTGGACTGTTCTTGCTTCCCAAAGAAGGCCTGATCATAAATGCGCCCGAGGAGATGGTCGATGATGAACATCCTCGTCTCTATAAGCCTTTTGATTTTGAGGCTTACTTTGCTTTCACCTACACTGATACCAAGAAGAGGGATTTATCGGCTCTCAAGACTTACTGCTCTCTCTAAACAAGATTGATTCCTTGCAAATAAATAAAGCTATATATATGTGTATCATTTGATTCACTATCTAGCTATGCTTGTTTAGTTTGCTCTTGAGGTGGTTTGTTATTATTTTAACTTTGTCTTGTTAGCTCTTTAACTTTGTCATGTTGGCTCTTGATCTTGTAATAAAACCTTGACTTTTACAGAAACTCCAAAATAAATGTATTGATCGTGGAATTAATTAATAGATGGATGTAGACGTTGAAACTGATATGGCGATGTTTTATTTTCAAATATTTCCGGAACATTCGACTTATAAACCCTTCAAATTTCAAATATACATGCACATATTGATGCCATGCATTATACTATTGGTCATCTAGACTTCTTTGACTGCTTTGTTGATTTACCGGAGGGTGGGAGAGAAGACGCGAAAACCATCTCAATTTTCAAATATACATGCACATATTGATGCCATGCATTATACTATTGGTCATCTAGACTTCTTAGAGTATCTGCAATGACGGATTCTTGGGGGAATCCTTAGGAAAAAAGAAAAAGGTATATTTCGGATTATATAAAGATATTTCAGATTTTTTTTTTAAAAAAGAAACTGATTACTCACGAACCGCCATGTGGGCAGTGGAGTCCGTGAATAGTGTAAGGATCAATCCTTACATAAGAATTTTATCCTTAAAATCTTTATCTGTTCATGGGACCTATTGATTATAAAATTAATATTTCCCTAAGAATTATATCTAAAGATCCGCAATTCTTAGACCAGCTGCAACGGAGGATTATAGGAATCCTTGACACATAATCCTAAGCTAAAGTGAATACAATAATAATATAAAACGAGAATTCGGCCAAAAAAAACACGAACTTTGCACGAATTGCCAAAAGAAATCTGAACTTTTGGCCTAACCAAAAAAAACATAAACTTTTCATTGATTTTCGAATTAATTAACAATGTTTTCGTTGACTTGCCAATTTGGCACGCCGTCAACAAATTTAACAGAAAAAAATTAACGTGACGTCGTTTTCGATTGAGAGGAAACGACGTCGTTTTAAGCGATTTGAAAATAAAAAGCCGTAGACCCCTGGATTTGAACCCGGGTTGATTGAATCAAGTGGCAAGGAAGTTTACCACTAGGCTAGTGGCACATTCAATGTAAATACTAACACATTTACTTATATTTGGTACTGACTGGATATTAAAAAAATTCTATAAAAACTTTAAAAATCTTTAAATTTTCAAAACAAATGAAAAAGAAATTTTCTTTTTATAAAATTAATTTTGATATTAAAATTAAAATAAAATTTTATTTTTCTTTAAAAAATCAGACGGGAACTTATAAAATTTTATTTTTCTTTTAATGTATCTATTAACACCTTTACTTATATTTGGTACTGATTGAATATAAAAAAAAAATCTATAAAAACTTTAAAAAGTCTTTAAAATTTCAAAAAAATGAAAAAAATAAAGAGTTTTTTTTATAAAATTAAATTAAAATCATAATAAAAAAAATTATTTTTTCTTTCAATGTATCTACTAACACATTTACTTATATTTGGTACTGATTGAATATAAAAAAATTCTATAAAAACTTTAAAAAATCTTTAAAATTTCAAAAAAATGAAAAATAAAGAGTTTTTTATAAAACTAATTTTGAAACTAAAATTAAAATAAATTTTTCTTTTCTTTAAAAAAATCAAAAATCTTCCAAAATTTTAGTTTAAAGAAAAAATAAATTTTATTTTAATTTTTTAAAAAATCATTATTTTTCCTTTTTTTGAAATTTTAAAGACTTTTTAAAGTTTTTATAGATTTTTTTTATATTCAGTCAGTACCAAATATAAGTAAAGGTGTTAATAGATACATTAAAAGAAAAATTAAATTTTATAAGTTCCCGTCTGATTTTTTAAAGAAAAATAAAATTTTATTTTAATTTTAATATCAAAATTAATTTTATAAAAAATTCTTTCTTTTTCATTTGTTATGAAATTTTAAAGATTTTTAAAGTTTTTATAGAATTTTTTTAATATTCAATCAGTACCAAATATAACTAAATGTGTTAGTAGATACATTGAATGTGCCACTAGCCTAGTGGTAAACTTCTTTGCCACTTGGTCCAATCAACCCGGATTTGAATCCAGGGGTCTACATCTTTTTATTTTCAAATAGCTTAAAACGACGTCGTTTCATCTCAATTGAAAACGACGTCGTTTTATCCTAACAGCAACAATTAACGTCCGAGTTAACACCGTCTTAACGGTTCGTTAACGGTGTGTTAAAATGGCGAGTCAATCGTAAGTTTCTTAATAAACTAATAAAGTCAACAAAAGTTCAGGTTTCTTTTGGCCAGACTCGAGTACAGGTTTCTTTTGGCCATTCGTGCAAAGTTGGTGCTTTTTTTGGCCGAATTCTCAATATAAAACCAAAATAAGCTAAGGATTTGCTAGGAATAATCCTTAGCTAAGGATTAAAATCACTCGATCCTTGTTGACGTGGCGTCTTGTTTTTCTTCTTTCTTCGGTTTCTAGCTCGTTGTTAGATTTTCGCGGATCAGGTACCGGATTTTGTAAATGTTTCTGGCTTGATTGCTCGAAATTTGGTTCAATTGGATTTGAAAGTATCAATTTTTTAAATGTTTCTAGCTTGATTGCTCGAAGATTTGTTTAATTGGATTTAAAGGTTTGATTTTTTTCTGAAAACTGCTTGCCTTTCTCCTTCCATTGTCTCTAACAGGTCTCTCTCTACAAATTCTCTTGACTAATCCAATCCAAGAAAGGTTTTTTCGTGATGAACCTCGTATCTCCCTTCATGGGTTTGAGTTTTGTATCTGGTTCTATTTTGCTTGATTGCTCACAACCTGCTCGACGAAATTCCTGAATAGAAACACTAATCTTTTTTTCTTCTCTTTCCGACGAAGTTTTCTATAGATTTTTTTCAGTTATTTATGTGTATTTTGTTGGTTTGTCATCTGATATTTGAGCATTTATTCAGTAGAAATCTTTGAGGGATTCCAATGGTAGAAGTGAGTCTAGGTATGTTTATAGACATTGTGGATGAGGAGTGGATGAGAGACACTTTCCCTTATGGTTGGTGTGTAGCTTGCTAGCGAGAAGCTCCATTTTTTATGCATAGTTGTTGTGTCTCTTTCCTGTTTTGAGAGGGAGATTTGTTTGTTGTTAGGTTCTTGTTGGTCATCCTGATTATATCACTGGAGAATCTAATTTTCTTTGCAAAGACCTATCCGGCTTCTCCCATTCACATATATATCTTTGATGCCACAACGTATCTAACAGAGTTCTCTGCCTTTTAATCTCATGATAGGAATCATTCCAAAGATTATTACATAAACAAGATGGAACCAGAGCTGAGTGGGAATATCCTTTCGTGGTCGCTGGAATCAATATCTCATTCATGCTGGTACAAATATAAGTGAAAAGAAGAAGAAGACTAGGTAAGATGGTCTCTGATCTATACATCACAAAATCTTTCATAAAAAAAATCTTTCACTTATCTCTCAATCCCTGCATGAATTTCCCAATATTTGTATAAGCTAAGGTTTATGTTTAATAAAAAAAAAATTCTAAGGATTCCTAAAAAGGAATCCATCATTGGATTACTTATTTTGCTAAGAATCCTTAACTATTCAATAAAACAAAACAATACTAAAATACTCCTTAAGGACTCCACAATGGAATCCACCATTGTGGATGCTCTTAGACGTGAAAACCATCTCAAGGTTCTTCTAAAGTTCGTCATCATTGCTTAGACATTTTCTCCACTTATTTAACATGGGCTAGCATTTTAATCCTTTTATCATGTAATGCCTTGCACCACAACGAGTCCAAAAGTATTCCAGTATTATGTAATCGAGATGACTAGTTAGTTTGGGCCCAAACAAAAAGTACAACTGGGAGGGATGGACTGAATTTTTTCTGCTTCTGGTTTGCAATGCACATGGCATTACCAACTCATAAAAGCACAGGTAGGTCAGACATGTAAGTTGTAACAACTAACAAACCATATGGGTTCGTTTGACAATCAAAATATAGAAGAAAATGTCTACATGCTAAAGTTTTAGTACATTTAAATCAATTCGCATTTTGAAGAATAATGTTTAAAATTTGCACCCATATTAATAAAAGTAAATACATAATTTTTTATTATTTTTGTAATAATTATTTTAAATTTTATTTCTCTTCAGTTTTACCACTAATTTTAAATTTTAACTTATGTTTTAGTTTTAAGGAAAAGTGCATCAAACAAAGTCTCAAACATGATTATTCATATAAAAAACATTCTTGTAAATATGAATAAGATTCTTTAACTGGTGAAAATAAGAAAAATAAGCTTAAACCTAAAAATTAATAAATCTTAGCTTAAAATAGAATTATAGTGACATGATTTTTTTTGAAGTTATAAGCATATTTGAAAGGTAAAACATAGATTCAAATATTATGGAAAATGAAATAATGAAAACTGAAACTTACATTTTGCTAGCGTACACATATACTATGGATCCGAATAACAGTGAGTTTGAACAAATTAATGTCTTAACTCACTCAAGAACAAGTATTGTATAGCTGTCTTTTTGAAGATATTAATGCAAACTATAACTTGAAGTTGTCTTACAGAATATCTATATATCATATATTATATATAACATGAATTGGAAAAATGTTCTAAAGGATCTTGATCGAGTTAAAGGTTACATCATTTAACCAGTCTCTTTCATCTTGTTCAAGCCGCGTCATATCACTCGTCTACTCCTCTAGGCTGCAGCCCAAACCCGGTAGCATCCGATCTTTTCATAATCCTCAACCTCTTGCATGACTCTGTGAACATTCTGAAAAATCAAAACATCCAAACCCATATAACTTTAAACTGTGACACATATAAGTTTATAATGAGATCTAATCTAAGTCAAGAGATATGAACATACCCCCAAGGTACATCTCCCGCAAGCATCCAGTCTCCATCCTTGTCTTCGTATATGGTAACGTATTCGCAGTTATCACCATCTTTCAAGGCCACTCCTGCACATATGTATATGTAAGTATTAATTATGTGTTTATTATACCGTGACAACTAGAAACTCCACTTTTCTTGTGTAGAATCTCTTGTTTTAAAATTATTCATTCTTTAAGAAAAAAAATGAAATGTAATGAATAGTAAATTTCTAATTTTAAAGAGTAAGCAGGTCATCAAACGCTCAATCTCAAGATTACTAGCTAGGACAAAAATTAAACCACCTAAATATTATATTCACGTGATGATCACAACACTCTTACAAAATGTAAACCATGTATTAGTAAACCTAGTTTACAAACATTCCCACATGTGTTGCTTCTTAATAATTTCTTGCATTACGTATAAATACGCTTTAGTTCTTTATCTAATTACTCGTACAATCGATTACTTTTTTCACATGACCTAATCTAACCACTCTACTTAAGCCGAAGAAGGAGATAATTAGTTTACTAACCAATGCCATGGAAACCGAAGAGCTTATCGAGAGCAAAGGCCAAATCATCATAACCTTGGCTAGAACCAAGATCCATCTTCCTCAAGTAAGGTACACCATCCATGCTCACTTTCACATAACCTAACCCCACTTTCGTCGACAACATTTCCTTACAACTATTTTTCCTCCGGTAAGAGCAAACCGGCGGCCACCCAACCACCTGAGTTTTCGCCGCCGGTGAATCATTAACCTTCTCCACATCAACACCAGATGAAACAAGACCGTTTTCACATTGTTCACTATTACTTCCAGAAGACGCCATTATCATCTCCGTGAAGCCTCTCTTCTTCATCATCTTCTCCGTCACATCTCTCCCAGGAAGTCCCAGTCTCAGCTCCGTGATCTCAAGCTCGAGTCCATCTTTCTCCATTTCTTTACTTTTTTTATTATTTATGAAATATGAGAAGTTTATTTTCACACACACTTCTCTTATTGTAGTCATGGCACTGCCGCGTCGTGCTTTATATATGTTGCTTTCTTGGTCCACACGATAAAACCTATGGAAACCAATCAGAGAGTGACACGTAAAGTCGTTTGATATCTAAATTCTTCTTACTCAATTTGTGTGGGGAGACAAAGTGGGGGCAAAGACAGATCAACTGAGGATGCGGTGGTCGGTCACATGAGAGACAAAATTTTGGTGCTGTTTTTTTTTTAAATTTTCTACAAAATCAATAAAGACCGGCATTACAAGGTGGTTAAGGGAACAGATCCTACGGTTGTGAAATTTGCTTGTGATTTTTTCTCTGACCGTTGGATTATTGGAATCCGAATCTTACTTCTAACATCCCATGTGTGTTCCTGTTGTAAAGATTCTTGTTCTAACTAGTAAATCACAACTACATTATACTTTAAAAAATAGGTTCGATATTTTAAAGTGGAAGTATAAAATTTATTCTGTTTGTTCGCATTTCTAATAAGAGTTTATGAATATTAAATCAAACCCTACCATTTTGGGATATGTTCGTTATCTCTCATTACATACCTTTTTAATTGACAATTAAATTCATCAATTATTTTGATTAGTCACCGCATAAATCTCACATGGAGAGAGCATGCACAAAAATCCCAATATGTTTTGTATAGATGGTACCAAATACAGTAAGAGTTTAATTTTGCATTAGCGACTAAAGTAAAACTGAATGCAGTTACGATTGATTTAGAATGTGTTTTTATATTTTTGATTCAGGAAGTAACAAAAATAAATAAATAAAATATTCAGGTCCAACATTTTTATCAAATATATTTCTAATCCAAACTAAAGTAAATTGCTTACAAGTTTTGGTTTGATTTTTCTTTTGGTATATTTTGATTCGATTTTCAAATACATATAGTCAAATTATAATCTGGCTCAACCTGTAGATCAATCTTATTTAATATTATCACTAGTACATATCAAATTTATTTAGTTGATGCAGGTTTAAAACATCTATTGTAGATCTTATTATATTTAAAGTCTGCATTTAAATAAAATTAATAAAGAAACTTTGTACAACGAATCGACGATGACTATGTGTACTAACTTAAGGGTTGATCATGCAATACATGCATTTCGAAAGTTAATTGGAAAATAGTGATTCTGAGAAGAGTAACTAGTTTCGAATGAGTTCAAACTCAGCTAGACCCGCGTTGTTGGGTTGCTGCTAGCTATCTTTTCAGCTCACCATACCAATCAAACACAAGAAGTAATGATGGGGTTAGAGATGTAGGGACACGAGCATAGAAAAAGAAAGATCGACCGTGTGTATGTGTGTGGGTTCACTGTTGTCTACATACTTTGATTAATTGATGAACAGCAACAGGTTGGGCCACGTGAAATTTATATGAAATACAACCACATAATGAGAGTGATGAGTCAATATCCCCATATTTCTAGTTTGTCTAGTCTAATTTTAATGGTTCCAAGTGACTAACAAACTACATTTGGTAGCGCCAAGTTTATTTAAACTAGCTTTGGATATCCTAGTTGAAGTGAACACGCAAAACGGTTTAACATATCTGAAAATTTTGATACCCATAGAAAGCAAAAGGTTTAGTTTTACATTGAAATTCAAGTTTTCTTTTCGTCGGCATTGAAATTCAAGTTTAACAACACTAGAACATTATGTTTCTAACCGAATGAATAATCTAGCCGATCGAGCTGATAAGTGTACTTATATAATAGTCGCTATAATAATAGTCAGAGTGTTTAATCATATGTGAAGTTTCAATTTACCCATAGGCATAGCCAGAGCCGGCCCTAGCATAAAGCTAAGGAAGCAGCTGCTTACGGCCGTTAAATTTATAAAAAAAGTTTCGGCCACATTTTTCAAATTGTCCCTTTGTTCTAGTGTTAATGCGTACAACACTCCCCTTCTTCGGGTCACGAGTTCGACCAACGGTGGTTACAAATCCGGCCACATTATTATTTTTTTCTTCCAATCTTAAATATTCTAGGATCGGCTCTAGGCATAATATATATTGTTTGTGTATTTTGCATGGTTCTGAAAATTGGATCCGTCTGGCCTGTCAAATCGGTCCAACCGTGATTCAATGAAGAATACAAATCATGTTCGGTTTAAAATTCAGAGTTAAGAAAAATCGATACAACCGGTAAAAAACGGGTGACCCGTTCAACTTTGATTCTAAAAAATTAATGGATAATTAATATATTTTCATTTGTTATTAAAATTTAATATTTCATAATCAATGTTTAAATATTAATGTTTAATTAATTTTATATTTGATTCTATATTCTTAAGAAAAAAATGAAATAAATATATTTTTAGCTTTTATATATTATTTTTATTTTGACATATTCACAAAATCTGAGATTTCAGTTGTAAAAATAATTGTGGTTATTTGAATAATCAATCACTGATTTTTTTTTTATCAATTTTAATTTTATATGGTTTTTACTTATTTATCATATATATTGTTAGAGTTATACTTATTATTTATTTTGTAATTAATAAAAGAAAAAAGATAATGTATTATATGTAAAAATATTTTTTAAGTCTATATAATGTAAGTATATGATTAAATATATATATATATATATATATATATATCGAATTAATATGCGATCTGGTTTTCAACACATTGGTATTTTTTGTTTCTCAGACAGCGATGCTTTATTTTCCCTTCGAAGTCTAGTAGAAACTCCACCGCTTGCAATTTGGTAATTTCAGGTTGTCTAATTAACTCAGATCCCAAAAGAAATGCTTTAGTATTAAATAATTTTCAAATTATATTAAACCAAAAAAATTAATGGCTTCTACTCGAGTTTTGTTGGAAAATCTATATAATAATAGTAGAGTTTCTATGCTCCACAACGCGCCACGTCAGCAGTTTTGTGGGGCCCATAAGTATTATTTTAAATCCTATAGATTTAGTAAGATGATTATGAACAATGAAATACACTTTAGCCAAGTGGTATAAGGTGTCCAATTAAGCATGCAAGATCATGGGTTCAAACCACGTAGCTATCATGTATTTTTGATTTTTTGACTTGGGTTATTATCAAATGGGCTTTTTGTTTATAAAGTTTTTATGTATTTTTTGGGCTTATTATTTTAAAGATCTTGGATAAACCCTAAAGTTTAACAAGTTCAAACCCAAAAATAGTTAAAAATAGATCCAAAAACGAACAATAAAAAAAAAAATAGTCTCACGCGGTTGCATACGCGGATGGCTTAAAGAACCTTAAAACTATCCTATTATAATATAGTTCAACCCAAAAATAATAAAAAATAGATCCAAAAACGAACAGACCAAAAAAAAAAAAAGACACGCGGCTGCCTACGTGGATGGCTTAATGAAGCTGGAATAATATAGATTAAGAGCTCAAAAATTTAATCCTTGCACAGATTTCCTAATATATATTTTCAAAAAATTGTATGTGAGATAAAATTAAAAAAACAACAAAATTTAATTATTTTTTCTTATTTATTAAATGAATATGTAATTTCTCTTACATTTTAATAACTACTATAATTTCATTGAAAACCTTCCTCACCACCGATTCCAGACCCTGGCGAATGGATTCCCACAGTCGATGACGCCGTAGATAAAAATGCCACATCATTTATGAACAAAACTCAAACTTACAAAAAACCATATATAAAAATCTATCTAATGAAACTTAAACAACGAATATTAACTTAATTAAGGTTATTTTCAAATTGATAAATCGTTTAATACAAATATAAATACTATAAATATAGAATTATATCAAGTTTTGACCTACAATATAAAAAAAATATTTACAGCAAAAAGAAAACACCTACCTTTACACACTAAAAACTATATTATAGTCTAACTATTACTATAAACCTTATTTCGTATATAAATAACATTTAACAAATTCCTAATATATTTTTAAAAAAATTGTATGTGAAATAAAATAAAATAAAAACAAATATTAAGTATTTTTTGTTATTTATTAAATGAATATGTAATTTCTCTTACATTTTAATAACTACTATAATTTCATTGAAAACATTCCTCACCATTAACTCCTGACTCTGGCGAATGGATTCCCATAGTCGATGACGCCGTAGATAAAAATGCCACATCATTNTTATTTATTAAATGAATATGTAATTTCTCTTACATTTTAATAACTACTATAATTTCATTGAAAACATTCCTCACCATTAACTCCTGACTCTGGCGAATGGATTCCCATAGTCGATGACGCCGTAGATAAAAATGCCACATCATTTATGAATAAAACCCAAACTTACAAAAAACCATATATAAAAACCTATCTAATGACAGTTAAACAACGAATATTAACTTAATTAAGGTTATTTTCAAATTGATAAATCGTTTAATACGAATATAAATACTATAAATATAGAATTATATCAAGTTTGACCTACGATATAAAAACTATTTACAGCAAAAAAATAAAAAATAGACACCTACTTTTACACACTAAAAACTATATTATAACCTAACTATTCCTATAAACCTTATTTCACATATAAATAACATTTAACACATTGTATATACAATATTTTCACTTTACATTCTTACTACATTCTTTCAATTTCATTATTATTTGGTGTTATTAGAAGAATCCACTAAACCAACAATCGGAAATATATTGCAAACACAATGATCCTATCCCCGCGCTTGCGCGGGGAGTATGCAACTAGTTTTCATAGTGATTGTGGCCTGTTGTGTCGTTATCAGCGACCAGTATTCTCTTGCTTATGTTTTGGGTTACTTAATAAAATATTATTTCTTTTTTAATAAGATCTACGTTCTAAAAAAAAATTATTTGAAAATATAATCTTTACATTTTCAATATCTTAATTAATAATAAATTTAAAAAATTTAATAATATTTATTAAAATTCAGTTGATTAAAAATTATGAAAAACTGTTAGTTACAAAAATGATACATTAGCAATCAAATTTTTTTATATTTTTTTATATATGTGAAAAAACTAAAACATATAAAATTTTGAAACAGAAAGTATAAAAAACCTCGAAAGTCATAGTTATGTTCCAAATCTCTTATATATTGTTGACAAAAAAAATCCCTTATATATTCACTATGCTATCTGTTTTTTTTACTGAACTATATATGCGTATCTTCAACACAAATAAATACAAGGGAGATATAGTTTTGATTAAATGGACGACCAAATATATAAGTAAATTACAAGTATGTTTTTGTAACTTATATTACAAGTATGTTCCCATGTCGATAAGCAGCATAAACTAAATAATGTAACCAAAGTTTTTTATGGCAGCCTCAAGGGTATACTTACATTATATAGACTTAAAAAATATTTTATGGGTATTCGAGTTGCTAGGGCCTGCCCCCGGGTAAATCATCTATTATTTGCGGACGACACCATGTTTTTCGTCCGAGCATCGAGAGACTCTGCGGAAGCTTTATCGACAATCCTCCACTGCTATGGGGCGGCTTCAGGGCAGGCCATCAATGTCGAAAAATCATCCATTACCTTCTCTAAAAGAACCCCCCAGCCCTAAAAGCAACAGTGAAGGGAGTGCTGAGTATTCAAAAAGAAGGGGGAGTCGGGAAGTATTTAGGCTTACCGGAACATTTTGGGAGGAAAAAGCGAGATCTCTTCTCGTCTATCGTGGATAGAATTAAGCAGAAAGCAAGCTCCTGGACCTCGAGATATCTATCCTCGGCAGGAAAAATGGTTCTTTTACAGAGCGTCCTTTCACCCATCCCCTCGCATGCAATGACATGCTTTCAGCTACCGGTATCTTTGTGCAAAGAAATACAATCGGCTATAACCCGGTTTTGGTGGGATGATAACTCGGGTAAGAAAAAGATGGCATGGATTGCATGGACGGACCTTACAAAACCCAAAGCGTTGGGAGGGCTAGGATTCAGAGACTTCCAACGATACAACGAAGCAGCCTTGGCAGAGCTCAGCTGGAGAATCTATGAAAATCCAAACTCACTGCTCAGTAAAACTCTAAAAGGGAAGTATTATCCTGAGGGAGATATTTTGAACATTGAGGCGGTGTCTGCGATCTCACATGGTTGGAGAAGCGTCCTGGTCGGAAGAGACTTACTCATTCAAAATTTGGGATGGGTTGTTGGAAATGGTCAAAAGATTAACATTTGGTATGACCCTTGGCTTGATCTCTTGAAGCAAAAACGCCCTTATGGCCCAGCCCCGGAGGCTCTGGCGAATCTCACTGTGGCGGATCTGCGGATAAACCGGGAAGGGGATTGGGATATTGAGAAAATCAGACAGATCTTACCTCTATACGAGGAGGATATCCTAGCCATCAAACCAAGTACTGAAAACGCCCCCGATAAGCAAGTCTGGCTTGGAACCAAGTCAGGCTCATACTCCATAAAGTCTGGGTACTATTTTGCCACTGCCTTGGAAGAAGAAGCTGAAGAAACGAGACCGAGTGTCAGCAGCCCCTGGTACAAGAACGTGTGGAATCTTAGTCTCTCCAAAGGTGAAAATGTTTGCTTGGAAAGTGCTAAAGAGAGTTGTACCTACAGGAGAACGACTGGTTGAACAACATGTGGATATTGATCCTAGATGTAAACGTTGCGGAGAATCTGAATCTATCTTTCATCTTTTATTTCACTGCCCTTTTGCTCAACAGGTATGGCGTGATGCCCCCCTGGAGTTGGGTTTTGATCCGAGAGGAATGGTAGATTTGGAAGCGAGATGGACAGGCCTTTGCGCAAAGCCGTGCTTACCCCCGACAGGAATTGTTACGAGTCAACTCTTCCCCTGGATTCTATGGATGCTGTGGAAGGAACGTAACAACTTCGTTTTTAAAGGATGCTCTGCTACTCCTGAGGAAGCTCTCTCTAACGCCATTAAAGCTGCGAAGGAATGGGAACAAGGATGTAAGATAGAGAAGGTCTCCCTCCCTAAGAGCATTCCAGGACCGACTGTAACACACTCTGCAACTACGGTTGTCCGCTCAGATGCAGCGTGGAGGAAAGAAGACAAGAAAGCCGGGCTTGGCTGGACGGTGAAGAATGCAAGATTCGAAATTCGCAAGAAGAAACCTCATTGGCATGTGGCCTCACCTCTGATTGCGGAGGGGCTTGCCATTCGAGAGGCTCTGCTTTTCTGCAGAGATCATGGCTTGAATAATAATATCCTCCTGGAATCTGACTCTTCCCAGCTTATAAGAGCTATAAATCAGGAAGAAAGTATCTCTGAGCTTCATGGTATCCTCTCAGACATCCTCCATCTTAGTCGCCCCCCTGAAGTTTCGATTTCTTTTGCTTGGATCCCTAGAAATCAAAACCTTGTCGCTGATTCCTTGTCTAAGGAAGCGTTATGTATGGTTGAGGCTTTTATTGCCAACACCTAACTCTGTGTCTTTTAATTAATGAAAGTGGTGTTCAAAAAAAAAGTAACCAAAGTTTTTTATTAATAAATTTTATTCATTAAAAACTCAAACAGTTTGTATTGTTATTTATTATTGTCTATTTGTAATACTTCATGTAAAGCAAATACATTTGTATAGTCAGAAACAAGAGAATATTTGGTTGGGAACATGCAGGGAGACTAAAAACAATAAGGACCATAACAAATTCTGGTAATAATTTAAATATGATAGCAGAACAAAAGCATATCTTTATTCTACATTTTGAATTTTAACTATTTTCATGATAGTATATATATCATCTCACAATCTTACCACAACTGAACCATAAAAACCTTTGATTGTTTACCATATCCACCTGGGTGTGAGCGAATGTGAAATCAGATCTTGAGAAACTAAAACGAATCAGATTCAAAACTTTTCTTTTAGATTACTTGTATATGTGCAGCCAGATGAATATGAGGTTATACGTTATATGTCTTATTTAAATATCTGGAGATAAAAATATCTTTTGATTATATTAAAAGCATTAAAACAGTCAATAAACTTTGTCCGACAAATTGGCAACATGCTATAAAAGCAAAGCACGAGTGTTTAGCGGACGCATTAGTCTCTGAGTTCATCAAATATTATTTAACTCAAGTAAGTATGTGCTAAGATTTAATGTTCCAAAAAAAAGTATTTCTAAGATTTGTTTTTTGGAACACATGTACTGGTAAGATATGTACGAATATTTCCATCAAATAATTATCTTACAAAAGCGTATTTAAACAAACAAACAAACAAAAAAAAAAAGATTTAAAGTCATATACAAAAAATGTGTTTATACGCAGACCCAAACTAGGGCGCTTGGCCGGGCTTTCGATTCGCTAGCTTATTAACCAAAGTTGAATTTGCCGACACATGACCCGTTTCTGTGGTTATAGTTTGACTTTTGATTACATAACCGTTTTAATATTATTACAAACAAAAACAAAACAGTGGCCATTGAGAAAACCATATATAACACATGATAATTTACGTAATAGTCTATATCAGAAAATAAGATTTAAAGTACTCTTGATCTTCATCGAATCCCATACGAAGTAACGCATTTCCTGATTGAAAAAGTTTATCGACCCATTCCATCGTCGAGTAAACTTTAAGAGAAAAAAAGTTATAACACATCAAAGACGTATAAACAAGAAACAAATACACTGATTAGTTTAATTGATGTTTAAAACATTAGTGGCTAAAACTTGTTACTCACCTCGCCGCTTATTAGGAGTTTCCCACCAGATTTTAGTCACACTGAACAGTAGAAACACCGCCATCAATACAAAATAGAAGAGCTTGTTAGCCATTTTTTTGGACAAATGTAACTAGAAGTATGTGTACTATAGAAACCGTAAAGACTAGATGTAGCTAGAAGTAAAGAGAAGTGTTGATTTATATAGACTTTTGTGTAAGAGTTGATTTTTTAGACATCTTTACTGATTACATCATTATTATTGATGATTATTGACCATTTCAAAACTAATTTTGTCCTTACACTTGCCCGCCAAGACACGGTAGAAAGACTTATACTTTTCTTCGTTTGTGCAAAGACTTGCTTTAAAAAAAAGTGCAAAGACTTGCTGAAGTCCCACGTTAGAAAAGTATTTCGATTTTTTCTACTATTGGACCCAAACTTAACTTATACCAATAGCGTTATTGTTTTATTTTTCTTGGTCTGCCAATAGCGTTTAAGAGATAGAAATCGATATACATAAGAAGTAGATGAATCAAAAACTTTAAAACTTCACTTTTATCAACACATTGCCTCAAATTTCCTGTCAATTTCTTTTGAAAATATATCTACTTATTTTTAAAATTTATTGTACTAATTATAAAAGATAGGTAATTCCATATGTTTGTCGTATTCTCGAAGACTAAGCTAATGAAAATAATGTGACAAAAAGATTAATTTGATATGATTTCAATATATTGATAATTAGTTGCTTGCTACTTTCGCCCATATGGATGACTTTAGTTGAACTGGGTCTTTTTAGATAAATCATAAATTTACATTCGAATAGACATTCCATAAGCATAAGTGAAAGCTTCAATACACTCTCTTTTTTCTTTGGAGTAAATAATTAAATTTCCACTCGTAAGAAAATTAATGAATAAACCTAAAGCATATAACTTTTTTTTTGAACCACCAAATGGATTCATTAAATCCACAACCCGCAACCTTGTTATGTGTCCGCCAAGCTGCATCCGTACAAAAAACAATAATATTAAGTGAGTTTCGGGTATTGATCAGAAGACGAGACGTGATCGATGAGGATGGAGACTTCTGCGGTTGAGCCTCTTACCATTCTCTTGCCAAACGTATGGCTTTTCATACAATGTCCGCTGTAGAGAGGTCGACTTTCTCGAAGATCAAGGAGTTTCTGGCTGTTCAGATACACCAACAGAGCCAAGGGAAGAATACCACGGAGACTCATGTCGGTGGGAGACAGAACATTCTGGTTAGGATGGGGAGTGCCTGCCTGTTCAAAGGTAGTATTTACTGAGGGGTTAAAGGCAACTTTGAGCGGCAATGCACATCATTATACAAAGACTCGACACAGTACACAAATTTCAACGGATTAGGCCGGAATGAGAGGAAGATAGAGCCCAAAAAAATGCAACCGATTCCTTATAAATGTGTGTTGGGTTTCTCTTTTCCTTGTTTTTCTAAGTGATCTAGTACACTACAAACTATTCAATATCCTTTTAGCAATATGCTCTAATTGAATTCAGATGTTGGCACAACATTGTCGCTGGCAGTAAATCATTTAGGCTACACTTGGTACAATGATAATTGCTCACAGAATTTAAACGTTAGAGAATTTTAATATGACTAGTATTTAGTAAGATGAAAAAGAATATTGTATGCGTTATATGGCTCAATCAGTTCGAATATTATGGACTTAGCTATGTCATATCTAAGTTCAAGCATGATCATTTGGGAATCAATGAATGTGGTTTATTTTGGAATATATGGCAGGTGTGTAACTTACCCGGGGGGGGGGGGGGGGGGGGGGGGGGGGGGGGGTTAGTTTTTTGTTAATTGAAGAAATTTGTGGAAAGTATAAGAAAACAGAAGATATGGGCGTTCAGTTTCGGGTATCACTTCAACCCCAAGCTCTACAGAAGATAAAGGAACAAAAAAAAGGTAACTCAAATTCATACGTATTATGTATATCATGATTATTCTCAATAGTCCATACCATTGTGTGATTGTGATTTCAACATTGCAAAGTTATTAAATGCAGTACATTAACTTAACTTTTATTATTTGCGATAGGGCGAATGTCCATTTGTTTTATCATTAGTCTTGCATAAATGTAGTATAGCGTTTTCAACAAAATTTAACGTATGATTTTAAAATATGTAAATTCTGGGACAAATTTTGTTATTTCACAAATTACTGTAAAAACCAAGCCAGTTTACATACAACGTGATTAAAATTTTGGAAAGGAGAGCTATAAATAAACATGTAAATAAATATATCACCGGTACGTTTTAAGAACAGAGCCGCAAAAGCTGCAGACAATGGCTCTCCAAGATCTGCAATAAATAGGTACAAGGCAAAACCTCGTCGAAGTCTTCATGTCAGCGACTTTGGCACCACGACCGCATCGGGAACACGTTCCCGCCGCTGGTTTGCTTGCCTTCATCTTCCTCTTTTGGTCCACCAAGAAACAGAAACACACCATTCTCGTTCCTTCTTCAAAGGCAGGTTAAATAGTTATCTTGTTTGTAATCACACAGGATTGTGATTAGTTATTTCTGTTCCAAAAGATGTTGTTGGAGTTTCTTGAAGTTAGGTTGGTGATGCACAAGCAGGAGACGACGTGATCATGCACATGTGTTTGCCTTGAACTTAGTACTTGAGAATATGCCTGAGGACATTATATTTATACAGAGAATATGACATTTGAAGGAGTGTTTGGCGTGCGTACACACGTACAACCCCCAACTTCTAACCGAATTCTTCATTTTATTATTATGTTTTATTCAAATTCATTTAATTCCTATTTTCAAGGAGAAATGAATTCAATGTACTGTATACATGTTTTCAATTTCAATATACAGTTGCCACGTTCGAAATAAAAAGAGTTGCTACGTCATGGATGAATCAGTTTGTTCCTTATCGGGAATATGGGTCATGAGCATGATCCCATTCTCCACCTTTAATTTTCAACTAGATTTTGACCCGCGCTTTTAAAGCGCGGGTATATTTTTATCATTTTGATAAAATTTATTCAAATTAATTATTCAAACACACAATTTTAAAAGTTGTTTTACTAATATTTAAAATGTTCTATTATAATGTTTGATTTTCACGTAATGTTTTCATATCCGATCCAGATCCATAGTTGAACCGGTACATCCGGCAACTTTTATATAATCCAGTTAAGATTTAATTAAAAATTTACTAATTAAAAATAAGCCAGTCGGTATATATCTTAAAACCCGTTATTAATCTGTATTATAATATCCGTTGATCCGTTTTAACCCCATAAAAAACTGATAATATATTTTTAAAAATTTGTTAAATAAATCATATTTTTAATATTAAAGAAAATTGATTTTTGTAATTTCTTTAATAAAAAATTTCTTGTCATTTGAAAAAATGAAACAATGGTAATAGTAAAAAAACAAAATTTGTACATTTGACAATATTAGTTTCTTTTCGTTATTAATAACCTATGATAAGTTTACATTTTTACTCATTTTATATCTAAAAATTAGTTTAAAAAAAAAAATTGAATTGACATATTATTATTATGGATAAAATGACACAGTAAAAAATAATTTTTAATCGCTAAATAATATGATGCACATAAATATGATATTAAAATTAAATAGAAAATCATAATTTTCATAAAAGGAAAATTATTATTAATCACAAAAATATGAAATATAATCAGTTACCATAAATATAGGAGATATTGAATTGCTTAGTTAATTAAGATTCTAAAAATAAATAGTGGTATTATCTTATAAATATGATAAAAATCTAGGGGTAGAATCCAAAATTTTAACAATAGGATCCTGCTTTAATAGTATAGATTTTCTTGATCTCAGACTAAAGATGGGCCTAAAGCATAACCAAACTCGCACTCTTTAATTGGGACTATAGTAAAGCCTGAATGTCTGAATTTTTTATTTTTTGTCGTTTTCACTTTTTTAAGATATTTGTTTTTTTTCGCCGGCGACGGCTCTGCATTTTGGAATTAAAAAAAAAATACAAGGGAAAAAGTTTTTTCGAGATTTAACTCAAGTTGTAATTGTATGGTTTATGATGGTTACATCACTCAAAGTCAAACGGATTGAACATATAAGCGAAGATAAGAGAAAAAAATGTAATCACTTTCTTGACTCCGAATAATAGAATAATCGTGAACATAACATTAAGTGACTAAGTTGTCTAACTGTATACTTATGTTATGTTCACGATTATTCAGCTCAGATTAGTCACTTGTCTTTAACTAGTGGATAATTTTGACATTAAGGCAAGAAAGTGTTATGTAATAATTAATTACATACAAATGATAGATAAGTGATTAAACAAGCAAAGTTGAGACTACAGTTACAAGTCAACGACGTGTTAGGTCGCAGACTCGCAACCAACTAATCAGGCTGCTCTACTTCGTAAACTATTCTCTTTAATACTATTTAGATTCTTTCTAATGTTGTTTTTTACTCTTGACGAATTTTTTTATCATAGTCTTGACGTGTTAGACTGTTAGGTGCTACCAACTAACTAAATAACTAATCAGATTGATCTACTGTTTAAATTTCCGTAGTTTCTCACATGATCTGAAGTAGATATATTCCCAATTTCAAATTCCTAACTCCTTTTTCTCTTGGCCATAATTTTTATAGCAAAATCTTGGTGGAAAAATGCATGAAATGTTGAATATCACATTGAACCAACTGAAAGGTCCATGAGAAATGATGTGACAGGAGAACAGAGTCGTTCTTAAGTTTGAAAAGCCATAAACTAAAGAGAAAATGAACCAGTATGAATTATTGAGAAACGTTAAAAACAATAGAAAATTTGCAGATTCATTGTTGATTGTTTGACCCTATAATATCAAGAGATAAACAGCTGTGTAATTTGTCCCAAAAAACAGCTGTGTATAAAAAAAGTGTTTAAAAAGGGTTATTTGTGAAATAGCAAAATTAGTCTTTTAGAGAGAGGATGGAGAAAGATAGGAAGAGAAAAAATGAAGGAGAATGGATTTTGGTTAGTTTTTTAAATTTGGTTTCTATTGGGTGTAATTTCTCTAAGATAACAGCTGTATTTTAGCACTAGGATAAAAATATATTATAGAAAATAAGGATCAAACTGCAGATTCATTGTTTGCATTTTAATATCTCATATTGCTTGCTGACGATATAAGTAGCTAAGGTTTCCATAGTGGTCACTGATCCGTGTGATGTTAACAGTACGTAAAAAGGTCCTTACGGACCTTACCACAATCCACTATTTAGTTCGATCATTCATGTACTTCTTTAAAATACTTGGGTCATAATACTTCAACCTAATTAGATGAAACCATTGCATCTTTCGGTGAAATAGTATTTGGATTTAATATAACTGATGTTGTTTTTGACAACGTTTAATGTTTGGGTCGTTCATAACTCAAAGAGTTTTAAATACATAGGTCTGTTGATCAAAATAAAAAATACATAGGTCCAAATTCAGTAAGATTGATATTTTCAAAGAGAAATTTAAAATTAAGGGAAAGGTAGTTTATGGATAGAGACGCATATTGGCATTTTTCTCTCTTCAAATTGGCATTTTTTGTATGCTTGTGAAAGGAAAACAGTGTAGCAAGTGCTTGTTAGGCATGGTGGTGTAGCAAGTAGGAATGTGAACTTTTAGACTTTCGTAGTCTTTATATTTCAAAATAGCATTTAATAAATCCGGTGGGTGTAATGAAATGATTTTCCCTTCTGTTTCCCATACCCATGTTCGCGTTTGCTTACTATTCGACAAATCTTCGGACCCCGAATCTTGAAGTCGTTTGCATTATATATTTTTCGCAAGTGTGAAAAATCAGCGGAGACTATTGTATACTACTATACGGTTAAATCATTCTCCATAATGATGAGCCTATCTTTAATTTGTATCCTATTAATAAAGTGAGTGCGTCGTTAATATGATTGCATTAAAATAAAATAAAACGTTCTAAAGTTTGAGATGGCTCGCATGGAACATTTTTGAGTTCGGTTCCGACTTGGTTGGTTTTGAAACACTACGGTGAGTTTGATTTACAAGAATTAGTAGACGACCGGTCCAAATAGGATTTATCCATAACTTCGGCGATTATCATAAACTTTTTGTATAGGCATAATAGGAAATGGAAAAGGAATATAGTTGCTGTCTGATCGTAATTAAAAAGGAGTCTTTTCACGTAAACATTGCCACGATTAACGGAGAATCAACAATATTGACAAATCATTCGTGTCGACCTGATTAGTGGTGTGAGTGACAAATGTACGGTGTAGTTTAGTGATTAAATTTACCCATGATCATATACAAATCTTATGTCGGATGTTTTTTCATTTGTAAGATCGTGAACAGCCTACGTAACATTCTCACGTCCTCGTTTATCCTTTTTCGTTATATATCATACTACTTCACAAAATCTTAATGAACACCTGACTGAAAATGTTTTTAGACACTACCTATCATTATGTTTGGTCTATTTCAGTATATAAATTAAAATATTAAGCCATACATGATAGTACATTATTACAAGCCTATTAGGTTAAATTGTAAGTCGTGCTATTGTCTTCTCTTTTATATTTGTAATTCGTAGACCACGTATTTAATGGAACATATAACAATATGTAAACATTCATAGAATATATATAGTTCCTTATGGTCTAAATGGTTAACTTACGTACAGAGAAAAAACATAGTAAAAGAAGACTGGTTGTGTACTTGTGTTGTGTGTTTGAAGTTTTATTTGGTGAATTTTATGTACTACATTTAGATCCTCCCTTCGAATTAGTGGAAGAATATTTTAATTTCTTAAAACAAAGTACATAGAGACCATGTGTAAAGAAGAAGCGCGTTCGAGGGTTAGTTGAGGATTCAAAAAGAGACAAAGTTTAAAGTATTTACGCATCTTCAAGATAATGCTGTTTTAATAAATAAGTATATATAACTATACTTAAATATCTCACTCTTATTAAATTGAATAGATATTAAAAAGCTTCAATAAGCCAGTAGAGCAACCAATCAGAGGCGGCCTGAAATTGAAATCCTAGTAGATATTCTAGGATTATCATGCATGCACTGTGTTGCGTGATTCCAGATCACCCTTCAGTATTTCTCTCCCTAAAAAACTTGTAATATGTAATCCTCTAATTGCTAGATTGATCTGAAACTTAAAGTTGTATAAAAGAAATAATAAATTTAAATTTTGGTTGCTATATAAAATATTAGGGTAGGCCCACCCTACGGGCGGGATGTAATTAAGTTGTGATCTAAGTTTTTATTTTTTATATGATTTTATGGTTTGTGATTTAAGTTTGTATTCGCAACAGATGTGAATAATAATGATTTTTGTGTTTTAACAAATTTTAAGTTATGAAGAATATTATATTAATTTTACTTGTTTGTTTATTTTTCTGACTTATATTATTTGTTGTCATATATATATTTTATGACATAAAACTATTTTAGTAATTAATTTATTTTTGGTTATGTTTTTATAATGAGATTACATTTTCAGATCATCTTCGGCTATGTATAACTAAAATTATTATTTTTTTATTAATTTTGTTAGAGATTATAAGTTCGTATGAACATGACACGATTTTCGTGATTGAAATGGCATACATTCTCTTAAATGTTTGCTCAATTTCTTATACATAGTAAGTATATTTTAGTTTTACTGTTGTGGTTAGGTTTAATACACAAAATATTGATTATTTTATATTTTTAATGTATTGAATGTACCTGTATTTTTTATTTCTTTTACATATTTATTTTTAAACTAATAATTTAAATAATTGAACATGAATAATAGAAAATCATTTGTGTAAGAAATCAGAATCAAAGCATAATATTATTTATATATTTTATATTAGAAGATTAAATAAACAACATTATCCCAATAACTTTATTAGGTTTTCAAAAATAAAATTCACTGGTTACTTTTTAGAAATAATGGTCTCCTTATATACAATTAACTTATTATTTTATCCAATTACACTTTTGGATTATTTTATATAGTTTCTTTTAAATATTGTTTTTAGTAAATAAGAAAAGTAAATAATAGCTCGACAGTGAAATTATTTTCCCTAAATTTTGGTAGATAGTAATAACAAGGTTCTTTTGGGACTCATCACCAGAGAAAAAGAAGATGTGTTGGGTAGCATGGGATAAACTCACTCAGCCTAAAGCTCTAGGAGGACTAGGCATCCGAGATATTCAGACCTTCAATACAGCTTTATTGGCGAAACAAGCTTGGCGCATAGCTACCAAACCGGATTGCCTGCTGGCTCGCGTTCTTAAAGGGAAGTACTGCCGTCATACCCCTTTCCTCACAGCCCCGGCTTCGAAGACTGCATCTCATGGATGGAGAGGAATAATTGCAGGCAGAGATCTCTTACTCACTAACTTGGGAAAAGTGATTGGCAATGGAGATGAAACTAGGATATGGAGGGATCCTTGGTTAAGTCTCAAGTGCCCTTTAACACCCTTTGGACCAGTGCGAGAAATGGACCAAGACCTGGTTGTTTCAGATCTCATCTGTAGAGGCAGTGCGGAGTGGAACATCGCAAGAATCTCGAGTAGTCTACCACACCTATTACCAGAGATTCTTCTTCTAAAACCGAGCATCACATGAGCTCCCGATTCCTTTGCTTGGCTGGCCAACTCGTCTGGGAGCTATTCAGTCAAGTCGGGTTATTTTGTTGCTGCGACTTTGAATCAGGAGGGAGTCAGAAACGACCAGGGACCGCTTAACACTGACCAACAAACATTATACAAAGCGGTTTGGGCCAGTAAAGTCTCACCAAAAATCCAACTATTCTTATGGAAGATTTTTCAGAATGCCCTACCCCTAGGCGAGAATCTTGCTAAGCGAGGCTTACTTCAGAATATTACGTGCCATCATTGTGGAGAACTGGAAACCGCAGACCACATCTTCTTGCACTGCGACTTTACTCAACAGATTTGGGCTTCAGTAAGCTGGAAACAGAATTTCCAGCCATCTAACTGCACCTCTTTTACGGCAGCGTTCATCTCGTCAGCTTCTCTGACTAACCTTCCTCCTCTGGGCATTACAGAAACTATTTTCCCTTGGATTTGCTGGGGTATTTGGACTGCAAGGAACTATCGTCTTTTTGAAAACAGAATTTTCCAGCCTCTTGATATAGTCTCCAAAGCCATCAATAATGCTCAAGAATGGAATACTGCTCAACTATTGATCCCAAAACAACAACCTTCTCAGCTAAACCGTAGTCACCTATCTACAGCGCCAACCACAGGGATTGATTGTTTCACAGATGCAGCCTGGAGTTCGTCATCTCTTCGAGCAGGTGGCGGATGGTTATTCTGTGATCTTGGGAATGTTTCTATTTTGCAGGGCTGCAAACGTTTTGAACGTGTTTCATCACCACTCATGGCTGAAGCGTTAGCCATCAGAACTGCTCTCCTCCATGCGTTGGAAGCTGGTTTCTCCGAGATCTGTATCAGATCAGATTGTCAAGCGCTCATCGGCGCTATTCTCTCGAAACGTTACCCGGCGGATATCTACGGAATCAGCCGAGACATCGAGTCTTTATCCTTATGTTTTTCTTTTGTCTCCTTTAGCTTCATTCCGTGTTCTCTAAACTCTCGGGCTGATGCCTTAGCTAAGTCTGTACTGTACTCTGCTCTCACCAACTAGTTGGCGTGAGGTTTCTATAATATTTGGTGTTCAAAAAAAAAAAAAGTAATAACAAATTTAATAAATGTACTATACAATCAATATCAATTAAGATTTTCTTATAAAATATTATTAATGAAAATAGATAAGATATCTGTAAATATCATATTTGTGGAATGTGTACTATATCTTCATAATATTATCCTAACCTCTTCTTCATATTGGCAAAATGGATGACCTTTGACTGTGCCTTATTACATGCGTACTATATCTTTATCTAAACGCTCCCTAAAATCCGAACCGCTGCTTGTGTGGCTGTTCGGTATGCCATTAGAGCATCGTTAAGGTTCAGTTAGTCATCTAGGAGAGCGTCTCAGTTTGACATCCATCCCCCCTTGAAAGCCTAGTGGTGTCAGCTAATTTTGCTAGCAACCTTGGTTTCTCGAAACTGAGATACAAACCATTACTCTGCAAGATGAGCAGATAAACTATCAAATCCACTTTGTTGTGCCAAAGCTCAAACCCAATATTAACATATGAAATTATCTTAAAAGCATGACGATGAATGAACATTACACTCTGATTTTATGCATAAGACCTATACTAAGATTTATATTAAATTATTTAATAGCATTTGCAAGGAAGAAATATGATATTTAAATGAGGGTGAGTAAGACCAACAAAGTTGTTTAGTTGACAAAGAAAAAGTCATAATTAGGTCATTTGATCGGTCAAAAAATTATTGTGTTTGATTATGTGTCATCAGAGGTTAAACAATCGGGCCATTTTGTTAGTAGTGATTTAAACACAGAAGCAAACACAATATTTGTCTAAAAATTATTTAATATACTATTTTTGAAGATAAGCAATACGTGGTTTGCAAGTTTTTAAAACATAATTTGATGATGCGTTAGAAAATTGATTCATTTCTTGATATGGTGACAGTGTAGAATTAGGAAAAAAAAATAAGCAATTGCAGAAAAAATATATAAATGACTTTTTTTTTTTGAAGAAAAGAAGAGAATTAGTGACATCATATGCTGAGGTGGGTGAAGGAGAAGAGAGTTTCTTCTTCTTTATATATAAAGATTAGGACATCTCAAACTCCACTCTATTTTCATTTTAAAATATAATTTAAAATAAACATATTTTAAATATATTTTATTTTTCATTTTATGATAGAATAAAAGATAGCTTGACTCTATGAGTAAAATATTTTTTTTTGTTTTTTTGTTGTTTATTTTTATATTTTCAATTTGAAATAGAGTATCATTGGAATATAATGCAACTCTATCTTATAGAAAAAATAGAGTGAATCAATGAAGAGAGTCTTATGTATATAATCCATTCTAAGTAGTGATAAACAGCTCAATGATTATTGACAACATCATGAACCAACCCGCATGAGATATTTTAATACTTAGATCATTGGCAAATCCCCAAACTACATCAATAAGAGAAACGCAAAAGTTGCCTGTATAACTAATTTAAAGATTAAGAAACGAGTTATTAAAAAAATCTAATGACTTTCTGTTAGCAAAACTCCAAATTAATTAATTATATTAAAATTTAAATAAAATAAGAAAGCAGTGGTTTGAGAAAAAGCAGAAACCGACAAGCATAGAGTGAAAGGAAAGCGCGTGAATATGGGAAAAACCACTTTCCATAATTCTCTTTTATTGTCGTTGCCATTTTTCTTCTCCTTCTTCTTCATAAGTTCACTCTCTCACCATGTTCCTCTAACAATGCTCTTTCCACTTTACCCTACATCATCATCATCTTCGTCCTTGTTCTATTCTCATCTCATTTACCACTTCAGTTTTATTTAAAAGTCAAATTTCAAACTCCTGAGATCTATTTATTTCCCCAATAAAACAGCTTGTGTTTCAACTCCTGTTGTGTCTGCAGCCTCTAGTACTTGTTCTTTCCTTTTCTGTCAGCTATAGTTTCCTTATTGGGATTTTGTGCAACGACGACCTTTTACATCGTGTGATCGGATTCTTGAAACATATCAAAATGGGTAAAACCTCCGGGAACAGAGACTGGGCTCAGATCTACGCTATATACGGTATCGAGCAATGGCAAACCCTCGTCTTCCTTCTCTTCCACGCCATCTTCTTCTCCCTCCTCTCTGTTCTCTTCCTCATCTACTTCGACCAGATTTGCTTCTTCCTCGACTCCTTCTTCCTACCCGGCGCCGCAAGACTTGCCGCAGGCTTCACCGGCGCCGTCACCGCTCTCTCCGCCGTGTGTCTCCTCTTCGCCGCCGCTAATTTTCTCTACTCCGACGTCCCGCTCCAGTACGAGATGGCTCAACGCATGGTTAGCTCCGTTGGAGACTGGTCTTGCGTCAAAACGGCTCTTGATCTTGGTTGCGGACGTGGCATACTTCTTAATGCCGTCGCTACTCAGCTCAAGAAAACCGGTAGCTCCGGTCGGGTCGTCGGGTTAGACCGGTCTAAACGCACCACTCTATCCACTCTCCGCACCGCCAAACTCGAAGGTAACAAATTTATATTATAAATTTAAAATATATCAAAATTTTCTATATAAATACTATATATTAGCCAAATAATAATAAAATTTTATTTCAAAGTATTATGTTATATTTTTTTTTTGAACTTATTTCTGTTATATTTTTGAACCAACTTTTTGTTCACAAGAAATTATTTAGGTTGTTTTAATGTTATTTACACAACCGAACTAAGTTTGTTGTTTGATTATGTTTTGTAATGACTCAGGTGTGCAAGAATATGTGACTTGTCGGGAAGGAGATGTGAGGACGTTACCGTTTGGGGATAACTACTTCGACGTTGTTGTCTCGTCGGTGTTCGTGCACACGGTGGGGAAAGAGCACGGTCAAAAGACGGTGGAGGCAGCGGCGGAGAGGATGAGAGTGCTAGGGGAGATAGTGAGAGTAGTTAAACCCGGAGGTTTGTGCGTGGTTTGGGATCTCTTACACGTGCCTGAGTACGTGCGGCGACTCCAGGAGCTGAAGATGGAGGACATCCGAGTCTCTGAGCGAGTCACGGCGTTTATGGCTGCAAGCCACATCGTGTCGTTCCGGAAACCAAGCGAACTTGTCGCCGGACCACGTGAAGTCCGGCTTGATTGGAGATGCTGACGTGGCTTTTTTAAAACGGCAGTGTCGGTTGGTTGATATTAAAAAACGGCACGTAGTACAAGTCCGGAGGTTTGAAAACGATGGTTGTGATATATTATTCTTAGTTACGAATATTAAAACTTAGAAAATTTAATACTGGGGAGGCGAAGCGGAACCAGATTAGCAGCTAATGGCCGCGTTTTAAAAAAAAATATTTGTATTTATTTATACAAAAATCAATAGTATTAATATTATGATTATCAGATCTTAATCATGATGCTGAATCGACCATGTTGACTAATTAGTAGCATACGATTAAAAATAAATAAAAGAACGACCACGTTGAGTGAATTTCAAGATTGTCGTCTTGTAAAGACCGTTGGGCATTAAATGACATGTCGTTTTACCTCGATGTGATATATGGTTCCCCACATTTATTAATTTAATTGTACCAAATAAACTGGGCCACGTTTGGGCCAATGCTTTTCCGTTGCATAAGCGAATCCTTAAAACGTTGAGTTGTTTAGTATACGAGCGGACTTGAGAGACAAGGGCTCAGAACTATATACATCTCTAGACTCTAGTTGACGCCAAGGTACTCTCCACAGCTCTGTTCTCAATTTGATGGACTCTAATCTCTGTAGCTTCCATAATATTTTGATGGAAGTTGATCCAGTGGTGTTAAATGAAACGTTCTTATGTTGTACATTCATTTGGTTTTTGGTATAAATAAGTATAAACCGTGTGTTCCTTTGTTTGATAGGGTGTACGTCAAGCACTTATAAAATCAATCAAGATCATGATAAAAGTGTCCATTAGCCTGGCTTCATCACTAGACACTGCTGCGCAACTGGAGTCATTACAGGTACATAGAATTCTTCTGCCCCAGCTCATCTTTTTTGGGGGTAGGTTGAAACACAGTAGCACAAGATATAGTTCCTGATGTTAGAAAATGTTGTTGCAGGCATCCTCAGCAACTATCCTAGGTTTGTCCTAGTTTTTATTTTACTGAGTTGAACTCCTCTTATGAGCTGCAAATAAAGCAGCTCTCATGTGGAACTGTAGGTTAGCAAGAAGAGGAACTGTGGAAATCATGTGACATTTCAAGATGAAGCTGTGGGAGATAAAAGAAAGAGTGCTAGAATCACAAACTTATAGTATTTGACTCAGGTCGTTATCGATGGTTATTTAACTACAAATTTTTGCTAGCTACACAATCCTAAACCTAAGAGACTGTACTCTGTACAAGTCTTGAAAAAACGTGGCACCACATAACTTTAAGCTAGACACGTTCTTGCCTACAAAATTTTCTAAACACTTTCTTGCACCATAACAGAATACAAGTTTCTTCTATTACCGGATCGGTTCGTTTCAACATTGCTAAAATAAAAAGATCTCAACGTTTAATTTACATTCAAACAAACAATAAGAAAAAAATTCTCAGCTTCGAGTATACAAATGTTATAATCAAACGAAAGACATATTACAGAGTCTGCTAGGTGTTGGTCGGAAATTCAACCACCGGAGATTCATCCGCCGGATAGGAGGCGTTAAAGCTCTTCGCAACACCTCTCTGCTTCCGTCACTTGGCACCATAAACCCGTGCCGTACGCACTTGGCCGAGCCAGGCCGTCCTGAACACGTGCAAGCCTGTCTAACTCTCAGGGCCGAACCGTGACTCCTACGTCTGACCCGAGTCGTCTCTGGTCTTTCACGCATCTCTGCACCTTCTCCTGATGGGATCCTTCTCATAACCTGCATCACTTACTAATGATTGTTAACTTGCGCCAGTTTGCAGAAAAAAAACTCTGTTTTTATGATTTGTGTAAGAGAGTGGATGAGTTCTCTTATATATCTAAATGTGGAATTGACTTTGATTTTGGTCTACTTTCAAAATCTGGATGCTCAATTTGTCAAAGTTTGACTAATTCAACACCAACAGGTCAACGGTGAACTTTTGAAGAACAATAAACGAGAAAAATTCAATGCTTTTGTAATGAAAATAAACATGCTTTTCAGCCATATTGTAATTATTTAATTAAATAACACAAAGGCCAATGCTTTACAACTCGTTTTTGGGTCCAATCTACTTTAGGCCATACTGAGAAAAATTAGAAATTCTTGTGAGGTCCACAGACTTTCTAAACTCTTACAAGAGCTCCATCTAATTTCAATAATTGGTATTGTCGATTTTATCATAATGGATGCAAAGTGGGCTCTTCTACAACTTGGATATTTGGACCTGTCTATTTTTTTTGTTTTCTTCCATGGTACCATTTTGTGGTAAAGTATAATGCACTGTACTTGTATTTAAGGTATGTTGAGTTGTATTCTTTTGGAACAAGAATCATTTGAATCCAGAGCTACTACTTCTTCTGGTAAAATCTTGTGATCATGAGGGAAGAAGTGTCAGAAATAATTTAAGCCCACTCTTTTTTCTGACCAATATATATTATGGTATTTGCTCCGGAGCTTCTTTGGTAAATATAATACAGCATATGAATATGTCTGTCAGTCCACGACAATATGAATGTGTATATATATGCATCATTTGCAGGATGCTAAATTTGACACAATAAGAAAATAAAACATCAGTACATATGATATACTAAAATATTCGAATGTGATAATCTTGGATTCAGTTTCTTGTTGCAAGAAGTCCATGAATCTCATCATGTTGTAAGGATGACTCAATATATAACTGAAATTGTGAATAAGAGTGTTATATTATCCTCCTATACAATAATAAATGATTCTATTAAATAGATTTTGGAGGGTTTCTAAAAATTCACTCCTATCATTATCAAAAGATCGTCATGTAGCCAATAGAGAGTTGAAGACAGCGTTAGTTCACATTCCCCGATCTGTTCATATTTCATCCTCGCATTTCCACTCCACCAACCAGCCCTTATTTACCTTCATTAATATTTTATCCTTACTTTTATACATATATAAAATTAAACTCTAATCAGAATCTATAAAAATTCTACTCCACATATGTATGTGTATTTTTGTGTGTGGCAGTAATAAAATAGCATAATGGTGTTTATGAGTTAAATCAATCGCACTAGTAATATATAGTGCTACCACTTTATCTCCTCTTTTGTTTTAACTTTTTTGTGTTGTTTACGACTGAATTCAAAGTAATAATAGTTGTATTTTTGTGTGTGTGTGGAATAACTTCTCTTATTGTGCTATCCATTACAATAAAATGTAACAGCTGTCTTGATCTTCATTGTGCATTTTCCTTGCAACTTGCTCTCATTTTGTTATTTACCATGCTAATTGTATTTATAAAAAAATCTTTCTTCCATATTCGTTTTTTTTTTTTGACTGAGCCATATTCGTTTTTTTGAAACATCTTATGTGAAAACAGCAAGATATTACGCATGGTTTCCTTTGGGAGCAAGTTAGTACAAGCAGATAATATAACAAATGGGAATGGAAAAATATGGCAAGTGTGACCTGAAATAGTTTAATATGTTTTCCAAGATTAAGTGATGATGTCAAAATTTCTGAAAGGTAATTTGTACATATTATCTAGAAGAGAATGTAACTAAAGGAGTTTTTAATTCCTTGATTTAAAGGCAATGATTCATTTTGCTGATGTATAAGCATATGGTCCATCGCTGGCCACTTGCAGCATTCTTTTATACATACATTTTTTTTTTTGGTAAAAATTCTTTTATGTATATACATCGTATGCCTTTCCATATCTTTCCCTTCTCTTTTTCTTAACACCCAATTTCTTGATTTTTAAAAATTCCGAAAATTCGTGGGCTACTAGTTCTGTGAAAGGGAAATATAACAACTGGTATCTTTTATTCAATAACATTTTTGTTTGTTTTTAAAGTATGTATCGGTATTGTACCATAGTTTTATATATACCATATACAGTATGTGAATTATATTTTTTATGTGACTTTAATTTTCTACATATAAATATCGGATTGACAGTCGTATACTTTCATTGTAAAAATATAACCGTGATTAATATTTAATTATAAGTTGTCTAGTAATCATAAATCTTTCACGTGATTGAAATTCATGAGACACAAGAGTTACGTTTTGCTTGATATTATACGATTTAAGTCACGACATGTAGGCAAATAATACTGGAGAGTATCTTCGTCCGACTGTTTTCACGACATCCGAAAGATGTTATCTCCCGTCTGGCACGCGTGCCATCACACTTTAAGACCGCAGGATACGCGAAACTTGAGTTGTATGAAAGACACCATTGCACTGAACCTGGCACTCTGGCAGCTGCATGCTGCATGCACCACCCACATAACGTGCATTAGGTTCGCTAGCTAATTCTACGTCAGAATCACATTTATAGTGAATTCTTCATAATACTGTCAGATGGCACATACACCTAAACTGGGATCCGATCATCATATTAAAATTTATATAAAATACCTTGACTTCGGAGGAGAGTTTTTTTTAGCCTTAGAGACAAACCCTAAATAATATTGTGTATTAATTACATTTAAAGTGTTTGAATGCTTCGAACGTCAATTTTTTTTTTTTAACTTGTGCATGCATGTGCCCTGTCAAAACTCATATCCTTTATCAAAGCAAAAAAAAAAAAAGAGTCAAAACTCATGTCCAAAGAATACTTGATACCTATTACCGTTTAGTATAATTTTATTTTCACCGAAAACAACAAAGAATTTTTTTTCAACCTAATCCTTCGATCAAAACGACGTTTTCCGTCTTTCTACTAAGAAAATAAAACCGCCTTAAAATGTGATTTATTTTTGGTATGCGTATAATTAATGTAGTTAGTTGTATGACCTATGGTTAATGGAATATATTTTGCGATGTCTAACCAAAATCGAAGTTCTGAGCAGGCTGACAACAAAATATAAGAAATTCATGAGTAGAAAATGACATGCACCTGAACATATCTGGAAGCAATATCATAACTAGGGGGTTATTTGTTCAAATCAGATGACTAATAATGGTCGAGTAAATAATTTATTACTGTTTAAGATTTTTTTTTTGCCAACTATTAAAGTTTAGATAGGATAATTATGTAATAGATTATTTTAGCAATTTATGTATATTTTTAGACGCCATAAAGAAATAGCTATTTTAGTCTTAGAAAAAAACAAAGACTAGTAGGTTAAGAAATAAAAAAAAAAACAAAAATTTCTACCTCTCACTTAGTAATATATATATATATATATATATATATATAATTTTCAGTTGCTAATTTTATTGAATATTGCTTGCAAAAGATTAGGGGTTTACAAAATACAAATAGCTTCTTACAAAATATTGAACAGTTTCTTACAAAACTGAGGATTGGTTTGGTATGAATATAATTAATGAAAAAAGAACAAAAGTATCAAACAGAATAATATAATACTACGTTACCCTTATTATATTTATAGTTTTACAAGCAATTACTTTAATTTCTTATCTATGCGATTTAGCATGATGCTTATCATTACTTTTAATCAGTTTAGCAAGTTCAGGATGTTTCCAAAGAAGATTGGTTTTCACTATTTTTATACTATAATTTATATATTTTAATGTTTACACAAACATATAGACTTTCCACTTAGTTTCAAAAGAAGTTGGATATAGCAAGCCATGGGCGTGCATGAAAGATAAAGTCTATATAATTAATCAGAATAACAGCTAGTATGAAATAATCACAAGGATAAAAAGTACATTAATTTTTATTATATTCAAAACCAGTTACAGATATTTGTTTAGTTTTAAAATGATTTCTACAAAAAATTATATCAAAAGGAATAAAACAACGAACAAAATAAAAGTCCTTATGAAAAACTTATCTAAAGAATAAGTTTTATTTTGTTTTCGAAGAATATAAGAAATCATGAAGTTGTGAAATATTTTTTCTAGTATTTTTATCACTTTAAGCTTTTGTTGGAGTTTCTTTGAGTAAATATAATAAATTTAATTTTGTAATTAGGAGTTTTTTGTAAATATACAATACATAAATTCTGGTTAAATTGCATTGGTAAGTGAAATAAATACACACAGTTACACAACTATTTTTTGTTTTTCATTTTCAATCATTTCCTTTACAATAAAATACACTCTCAAAATATCATTGAGATGACAACATATGCATCTACACAATCTATATATAAACATCTAAGTATATGTAATCTTTACATTGCAAACATTTAAATTAAAGAAAACTGTATATTGTTTTGTTTCTATATGATTTTTTGCCTCACTTCTCCCACTCTCTTCCTCTAAACCCCTATGCCCAATTAATTAACCCAAAACGTATACACAAATCTCAAATTATATAATTCAAATGACCCCACCAATCGGAAAAGAATCGTACTCTGCAATTCCGACACTTGTCACCATTTCACACAGACCGGTTTAAGAAGAGTACCAGTTTAAACCAGGTAGTTGGTACGACGCCGTTCTGAATAATCCATCCCCTAACACACCACCTTGCTGCTGCATGAGTGGCGGTGGCTCCTCCACCATCGATGTAGACATGTTCGAACAGTCTCCTCCTCCTCCTCCNAATCGTACTCTGCAATTCCGACACTTGTCACCATTTCACACAGACCGGTTTAAGAAGAGTACCAGTTTAAACCAGGTAGTTGGTACGACGCCGTTCTGAATAATCCATCCCCTAACACACCACCTTGCTGCTGCATGAGTGGCGGTGGCTCCTCCACCATCGATGTAGACATGTTCGAACAGTCTCCTCCTCCTCCTCCTCCTCCGACACCGTGAAACCTTTTGCTCGGAGATACATCCTGCTCTTCCTCAGCCACAGGCCAATACGGCACGGGTAGAGCTCGTTTCAGATTAGCCATCATCATCATCGGTCCAGAGGAAGAAACAGGGTTCAAACCGTTACCGACAACCTCGGAGCTAAGGTTACCGTTACAGACATTGAGATTAACTGCATCAGCTCCGTTGCTGCACATCATGCCGCTTCCGTCGTACAAACCGGGATCACCGTCGGAGAAAAGCCCGTAACCACCGGAGTATCTTCCCGGGAAGAAGTTCATTGATCTTGAGACATTGTTGTTGAGTCCTGAAGGGATTTTCCTGAAGATGTAGTCGATCATATCATTATCCTTTTCGTTATCAACGTGTCGTCCCGCGTTGTTCTTCTTGTAGATTCGACATAGCACCCAGTCATCAAGCTACGTAAACATATAATAATCAAGAAATCAAGAACTCACATATATATCAATAATTTTTTTTTTGTATAATGTTAAATAATAAATAAATATAAAGAATATTAAAGACTTACCCTTAGGGAGTTTTTCTTGTTGCCGTAATCACATCCTGGTGGTCTATTGTTTGGTTTGTTGTCGATGAGACGGTACTCATGCATGATCCAGTCACTTTTAATACCTTTTGGAGGTTTGCCACTGTAGAAGACGAGTGCCTTCTTCACGCCGACTTTTTGGTTACCGTCGGAGGCTAGCACCGGTTTATCAGTACCGGTGGCTTTCCAGTAACCAGACGTGGCCGCTCTGTTTGGCCTCGCTCCGTTCGGATACTTACGGTCTCTAGGACTAAAGAAGTACCATTCCTGTTCTCCAAACGATGCCTTAGCTACAATAACAAAAAAAAATCAAATTAAAAATGTTAGATCATACGTCACACATATAAATGATCTATAGAAAAAGTGAAAACGTTTAAAGAACTCATAAAAAAAGAGGTAAAAACTTGGAAGATGATGATGAGATCTTGCTTACCAGGAAGTTCCCAAGGATCGAACTTGTAGAGATCAACGTCAGCGATGATGGAGACAGGCAAAGGAGCGGAGGCAGCTTTGCGTTTGAGGTAGTGAACGACGAGCTCTTCATCGGTTGGGTGAAAACGGAAACCTGGAGGAAGGTTAGGTTGCGGCGGGGGAGGACCACCGGAAGAATCTGTACTCTCCATTACAAGAACCTTTTCAGTTGATGATAATCTAACACAAGAGGATTTTGGTAGTTTATAGGGTTGTAAGAGAAGCTCACATATCAAAAGATTATTCCCTCTTTTTTTTTTTGGTTAGATATTTGTTTTTTTTTTTAGGTTTGATGAAAAATGCTTCACAGAGTCGGCGTTACCGTTCTTTTAAATGGCAGCATAAAACGCCAGTTTTATGGGGCTTAATCCTCTGTTCTTTACTCTTATATATATAAATACACCCGCGCGTAGATTAGGTTAAAAATGCAAAACAATACTTTTCTTACGACTACTATTACATGATTTATTTACCTAACTTAAGTAACTAGCTTCATACTTAATAGAAGGATTAGAGTATATATTGTATTATATATTATTATAACTGATTGAACAATATGTAGAATTTTGTTAGTAGATTGTGGAACTAAAATTTGTAATTCTTGCAGCTTTCGTGGAATCTTTTATGTTAATAAATATCTAGATGCTTCACCATAACGATTTATACAGACAAGGTAGTTTTTAGTAACGATTCTAACACTAACAATAAGCTCACACATTTCATGTTAATCAGCGATTATTGTAAAGTACAAAATTCCCCAGTATTTCAGCCGATTTTAGTGTGTTTTGGTTGCACTAAAGGATCTTAATGTGGCGACAATGCGACACATATACAAAGCCTGACTAATCATGTCGAGTCTATGTAATTACTAAATTAACCGAATCCCGAGGATAAATTAGTCATTTTATGGCTAGATTATCACTACAATTTAGCTATATAATTAAAATAAAAAATCATTATTTTCTCTGCGTTTACATATAGGCTAGGCTCCACCAAGAAGGAACTACGACAACGAAGAGGAGGCTGCAGTTAACATCGAAAACGATACATGTTGCTATTTTTTATTTTATCTTTTTGGCAGAGAAAATATATTAATATGAAGATAAAAATAGCAAGATATATCGCTTTCTTCGTTACTCGATGACAAATTACAATAACACATGAAGTCCAATAATCGATATATCCTTGCTAAAATACATAAATATAATTTATAAAGATATATCGTAAATGAAGAAATAGTTGCAAAAAATGAAAAAATAGTGTGAAGAACGTTCAAATTCATTTTTTTACATTTCTTTTACCGAAAACAAAAATTTGGTTGATATATTTATTTTCTGTGTGGGCACCGTTACTTGTTAACTTCCAAGTGGAAAGTCGACACGTGGGATTTATAGTGGGACGATAATCACACGTGGCAATCGAAACGTGGGACCCATATAATCGCCACAGAAGGCAACAAATTGATGACGTGGAAATGGATGGCCGGGTGGGTGTGGGAAAAAAAGCTTTACGTTTCAGATGTCGTATGTCACGCTTTTGTTATTGAGATAATCGCACCACCAGATTTTTAAAGAAAATTAATAAAATAATATTTTACGAAACAAACAAATCGGCCCATTTCATGTGATTCTAAGTTTTTATTACTTTATTGTTGATTTATAAGTATAATTTTCTTCTTCAAATGTCACATAAAATAATAATTACAACCATGCATATTGACCACTAATATAATTACGGTGTGCACATTTACTACTTTCTAATATACAGTCATACTTAATTAGACTCCTAGGAAGCTAAGCTTTTGTATGACTTTTGAGTTTTGACTTCTCACCATAACACGACTCAAATTAGATAGTAGATACTCCTCTATCTATTGGGTGAAATTGTCATTTTAACATTCTTAATACAAATTAAAAAGTTTATTAAAATATATCTATATTCTTATTAGTTACATTTGTTTAACCTATAATGTTTAACATAAATAAACAATTTATAAAATAAATATATATTTTACAATTAATATTAAACGTTAACTAAGTATACGCTACATTAGAATTCTGAGATGATATTTTTTTGTATAACAAGAAAATGTGTGAGAATAACCCTTTTAGTTAAACATGGGGAGTATAGTTTTCTATTGGTAATATTAGTAAATTTCCTATATCAAGATTTATTACTTCTTGTGAGGTTGTTAATGGATTGATTCCGTTGTGTTTATTTTTCTTCATGGATGCTTTACGAGAGAATTATTTAACAAAGATGAATGTTATAGTTTACCTTTCCTTTTATCGTCTAATTGACCTATATCAACTGAATTTAATGTAATTCTTATATATATTGACAAGTTCAAATTATAAGATGAAGTTAGGTTTGTATCACATAATTTTTTTTCTTAAAAGAATACGTATGACCAAAAGAAAAAAAAAATCTTAAAAGAATCCGTAGGGGTACTATATATATTCATTTAATTTTGTAATATATTTGTATCTCATATTATTAAATAAACAAAATATTACTATACCTATTTATAATCAACATGTTCACGTAAACATTTTAAGTTTTAAATACTTTTTGCTAAAAATTGTTACTTGATATATTCAGAAAAGCTTTTATAACTAAACGATAACATTAAATTTTTGTGGTATTGGTTTATTCGATACTCATACAAAATGTCTCTCATACATTTTCTTTTTGGAGCACTTCGTTTTTCAAAAAAGGAGAAATAAAGAAACGAGAAATGTGGACCATATTTTACACACGTTGTACCAACTCAAATAAATACTTGCCTCAAATTAGTCAATTGAATTACATCATTTCATAGTCACATCCATCAGTTCGATAGTCAAAGACATCCTATTTGCATTCGTAGAGATTTCTAGTGCTTTACATGGCTGCACACTATTTTTTCTTTTTCTAACTTTCACAATTTCAACACAACCACACAAATACCACCTGATCCCAATCCTTTTACACATCTTGAACCCATAGTTATAATTTTTTTTTTGTTTTCTAATTTAATTTGAATCAAATATTTTTCATCTAAAATGATAAGATCTAAATTAATTTATAACAGACACTGAGAAATTAGTTTAGCATTAGTTATAGTAAAAGACTAGTTTTTTTTTTGAGAAAAAGGATAAATATAAGACTAGATATAATATGTAAATCAATCAAAAATGTAAATCCTTTTTGAATGTAGAAGTAAGAAAGTACCAACACTAGTATATAAATGACACCATGATCTTCTATTTACAAATTAAATCTGAGTTAGAAACTTACGATAATAAATGAGATGCTAGGGAGATTCGAACAAACGATGCATATTATTTAACACTATTGGTTAAAGTATTTTACTGATTTAGAAATCTGTATAGAATTTACAAATCTTAACAAAATATACTGATTTTCAAATCTAATATGTGAATTTTAATAAGTACTTACAAATCCGAGGGTTCTCCTTCGGATTTTAGTCCTTATATTTTTAACAAAGAAATCCACAAAAATCCACCTAAATTCATTATAAAATCAAATCCATTTATGAATCCGTATGATTGAATAACACATGATTTAAATTGGAATTTATAAATCATGAAATCAATAACACTTGATTTTAATTTGGATTTTAAAATCATGGAACCAATAACACTGCATTTTGTTTAGATTTATAAATCCATTAAAATACATAAACCAATAACACCCAATATATGTAGGTTGGTAAATTTCACTCTGGTACAAAGTATTTGGTATCTAATAATGGTAAACCTAACTTCAAACTTTATACTGTATTTGAAATTTTCGTCATCAAGAGAATTTATGCAGAAAACGATTACTTTCAAACGATCCAATATGTGAACTTTTGTAACCATGCTTTCGGCATGTGATACAATACTTTTATGCTATCTACAAAAATATCTAAACCAAACTAGGTGTCATATCACACGGTCATATGTAACGTGCCAAGCTAAAACATATAGGACGATTATCAGACATTTTGACATTCTTTACCTAGCTCAAAGCACATTATGATATTTGATTTTACGCATCTTAGCTGGTGGCCGTTTGCCAACAGTTTCATTTACTTTATTAAACATATATGCAGTTTTGTATTGTGATTACATGTCTGTTATTTTTCACGAGAATTCATAAAATATACTAGGGCACTAGTATTTTTTGTGTGCACAATCTGAAATTCATTAAATAACCGGTTAAACCGGGTCCAAGACAAAGCCCCTAAGAGCTTGTTTAGCTTGTTTCCCACTATGGCTGCCACCAACTGTACAGAGTCCGATTCAAAGATCACACTACTGAACTAGAGGGCGATTGCATGTTCCATCGCCAAGCGTAGTGCGAGTCCCTTTGCCACGAGGGACGAACTGACCAACACAATTGATTCATTGTGAGAGATGATCCTCTCATTTCTACCATTGTAGAAAAGTTCCAAGCAACACTTGCTGCATTTGGTTCACTCTGTCACGCGCCATCAGACCTACAAGTTAACTCAAATCCAGCCACAACACGTGAAAGAGGTTTTAAAACATTACTGTGAGGTAAAGTAGATTGAGAACTTTCCCCTTCCGTTGCTTCAGCGATAGCTTTCAGAATTGTCTGTTGAGATAAAAAATTCTCATTGTTGGAAGGTTTTATAATTTCGTGCTGTCTAGATGGAGGCTATGATCCATGGAGCTAAGGGACAATCGGTGAGGCCAGTGGGAGGAAGAACCGTTACCTTTAGAGTTCCATTCCGAGTCGAAAGAATTCAGATTAGCCGTATGAGATGATGTAGTTTTGTCTTGTAATGTATATGTCATCATAACCGAGCCAGCCAACAATGTCTAGACTCTCTCAATCGTTTAATGGATTAAATATAATATAAAAATAGAAGTTTATATACGAATTAGGTTTCTAGTCAATGGCACTCGAATGATTCAGTTGTTGTTGAATTTTTTAATTTGTGCATCTTACGAAATTCGTTTGTTTGTTAATATATTATAATATACACTCATTATTCATATTAATTAGTTAGGAATGGTATTAGAGAGAACACATGACTCCTAACAACAGGAAAAACTACAGTTGTCTTTATTTATTTATTTTTCTAAAATACAAAACGGATTTGACAAGAGCTCTTTCGCATGACCTTTTGTTATTATTTTTAGATGCGTTCTCTTGTATGTGTGTCCATGATCAAATGCGGTTAATTGGTTTTATAGTTTTATTTAATATAAATAAAAATTATTTGTATTTAAGATGTTGGATATATTAGTCGAAAAATACGTCAAAATCACATACAAGATATTTACAGATTTATA